GCTCTGAGCCGCCGCTGTCCCGCGCCGTTAGGCTTCCGGAGCCTCGGGTTTGTCCCCACGCTAAAATGCAGTAAAACAATGGCTAAAAGCGGCGCGGCCTTTGCTGGTACCGCCTCACCTCAGACGGCACCTCCCGACCGACCGCGGCGAGCGAAAACCGGTGCCAGTGGGGAGGAGAGCGCAGCCGCCGCTCCAAGCGGGAAGCTGCCCGCCGTTCCGTGCGCATCCCTCGTGGCGCCGGAGTCCTGTGGGCTGAAGTGTTGGGCGGTAGTTTTTGCCCTCGCTGCTTGGGGCGGAAACTTCATCACGTTGCCCGCAGATGAGGGCTTGGCGGTGGTTCACGGGCTGCAGCGCCGGGTCCTGCCGGGTCTCGCTTTGCAAAGTATTTGGACTTGGTGGGCTTGCATGCAGATGTAAAGCATTTGTTTCAATCTAAAACTTCATTAATTCATCCATTACTTACTCATTTCTCTAGACCTGAAACTTGGTAAAAAAGTTAACGAAGGTAAAACAAAAGAAGTGTTCGAGCTGCCAGATATGCCGGGATGTGTTCTCATGCAGTCAAAAGACCAAATAACAGCGGGAAATGCGGCCAGAAAGGACCGAATGGAAGGGAAGGCTGCCATTTCCAATACTACAACTAGCTGTGTGTTTCAGTTGCTGCAAGAATCCGGTAAGTATTTCAAAGGTAGAATACATACCTGTGTATTACAGATGCTATTATAAAACGGTGTTGTTTCTGTGTATTGGTTTATCCTGCCCTGAGGCTCTGATGTTCGGTTTAGGTGGGTTTTTTTCTGGGTTGTTTTTTGGTTTGGTTTTTTTTTTTTTTAGTATCTCTTCTGTTTGGTTTTAGTTATACTTTACCTTCTGGTATACAGAGCTGGGTGGGTGACTCGTTCATTTGGAACTTGAGACTATCCGAAGTAATCTTCTAATCACAGATAACACTGCAACAGTGTTTGGACCATACCCCTTATCCTCCCCTCTACTTTCGTCAGTCCTTCCCTTTCCCCGTGCTCTCCCTCCCCTGTAATACTGGACTGGATGCATCTCACCCTTCTTACTACATCTGCCTGCCTACGAGTCATTGCTACCTAGTAGCACTACCAGCCTATGTATTAAGCTGTGTGAAACTTGCGTATGAACGTTAAAATTAGAGTGTCTCGGTTGTTTGTGCTGTATCAACATAAAGGTTCTGCACATTTTGTACTTAAACACTTAGGAGGACTATGTTGCAAACGCATGTATTGGTCTGCATTGAGTGTTATAGGGAACTTTTATGTTTCCATTAAGAGACTCAAAATGTTTGTGGTGCTAGAAGTGAGCTTTCCTTGAGTAGGTAACCAACTTGAGCCACTCACGATTTGCACCACACTTTCCAAAAATGGAGCCGGTATCTTTGCTTTGAGAAAGTATCAAGTGTCTCTGACTGAGAAGTCTACGAGTTACAAAGAGGAATTGGCATTGGTGGGTTTCTACCTTGAGTCTGCAAAGAGTACTGTAATACAGGCAGCAGTAAGCTTGGTTAAGATATTTATAGCTGCTTGCTCAGTGCATTTTTGAAGCATTCATACAAACATTGTTTAGAGTACCAGATGAGTTGCTTTAAAACTTGTATTATCTGTTATGAGGTGTAGTAATGGTTCTCAGCCAGTCAAACAGTAAAGTCCTAGCATGTGACATATGTGAGAGACAGATTGTTTCTGTAAGGTTGTATCTACCTATGTTTCTGTGCAATTAGTTTTTAAGTATGGGCCAAGACAAAGATACATCAAGTCATTCAGTATAATCCTTAGACACTGGCTTTCTTGGTAAGCCTATTGTGCATACAGCATAGAGAAGCCTCCAAAGTATTTCTGATTATATTTGCAGTTGATTAAAACTACCGGTTTTCATTTAGGAACAATTAATGAGATGTTTTGTGTAGTTCTTACGTAGCAATAGTTAAAATAAATCAAAATAGATAACCTATAGACAGGAATTTCAATGTCAAGAAGCCATACTGTAGACCTCTCAAGGATCCTTAAATGGCTTTTACTCAGTAACTTCATGTGCTGTGAAAAACATGCTGAGTAAATGGCAGCTGCATTTTGAGGCAAGAAAAGAACTTTTGGGGTGCATCTCCAGTTTGCTTATTTGACTGGCATAAATGGCAGATAATGTGAATGCCTTAGCGTGGAAGTAGTTTGTTTGCTTCGCGCAACTCTTCTTAACCTACTCTTTCAAAGGTGATGATTTACAAAGTTCTGTTAAAGTTTCTCTCCCTTTTGTAATAGACCTAATGTCACGCCTTCAAAAACAAGTATTTGCACAGATGAAAAATATAGTAGTGAATCATGGAGAGGTCCTAATGCTTGGATTTTTAAGTGCCTTAATGTGCAGCTGATAATTTAAATCATTCTGTACTGCCCTTGTGGGCAGTGCAACAAAGTCTCAAGAGTCAATGGTAATACTGTATTTTAAGACTTTTAATTGTTCTTTTATGACTCTGAAAGTGGTATGGAATAGATCTACTGCTTGGTTTGACTAAATGCAGCTCCCTTGTCTTCTGTTTCTGGCAGACGCCGATTGGGCTTGGCAGTTGCCTTGCTGTAGTTGGGTACTCGGTTGCTGCTAACTTTAGTTTAAAAACAAACCATTGTGAGGGATCGGTGTGTTGTGTTTGGGGGAGTTTGGTATTTATTTATTAAGCTGTGTGAACAAAATTATTGCAAGAATAGGATTTTTGACCAGAGCACAAGGTTCTGAGCCACAAGCAAGTGTTGTAGGATAAAATTGGCAAAACTAACGACTTGAAGAAGATAACTGCATTGATTGCTCTTTGCAAGGTCAGAGTGGTCTTAAAACATGCTGAAGATATACAGCGTGTCCTTTAAGTCCAGAGATGAACAAGATTCAGTTGTACTTAGAATAAAGGTGTTTGTAATTCTTGTTTCAACTGTGAACTATGCACAGTGATGGAACTAAACTGGCATCTCTATTTAGGAATCAGAACAGCTTTTGTCAGGAAGCAGGGTGACACAGCATTTATAGCAGCTCACTGTGAAATGATTCCAATTGAATGGGTGTGCAGAAGAATTGCTACTGGCTCCTTCCTCAAAAGAAACCCTGGTGTCAAAGAAGGATACAAGTTCTACCCACCCAAAATTGAGATGTTTTACAAGGTAAGTTTCCGTTACTGTGATGTTAATCAAACTTAAACAGAGCTAGAACTCTACGTTATCTCCTTTAAAATGCTGACAAATAAAGCAAGCAGTGCTCGTGGCAGACCAGTCCTCTTAGTATTGGTAGTTTTGCCATCCTACTGTTTTCTTGCATTCTTGTCCAACAGCTGTTTTGTCTCAAGTGTGTATAATGTAATACTGGCCTACAGACCCATCATAGTATAACAAACCAAACTGTACATAAAATAGAAAAGTGCCTTATTTATAAGGTATAAATGCGCATAAGCTTAACACATCAGTTGTAACAGATGTGTTGATATGTTTGAAGAAATTAAAACAAATGGTACTTGCATGGTGAGGCTCAGTAGCTAGCTGCTTAGGTAGGATTCTGAACTTTGGGAGTATGTGCTGAAGGAAGTGTCTTGTGAACTATGACCTGAAGTGTTATTTGTAGTGTACCCTGTCACTCCTGGAGTACTGTCCACACTCAAAGAGCTTTAAAAGATGTTCAGGTGTTACAGGAAAGTGTTTTCAATGTTGCTGTCATATTTTATTTTTTTTTTTTTTTTTTTTTAGTGCTAGTCATCAAAAATACTAGTTTGAAGCCTGTATATTTTTTTTGTTGTTAAGAGCAAGCAAAACCTAGTATTATCTTCTAACAGTAATTTTCCTCCTATAGCAAGCTTGAATTACGTGATGTATATGCTTTCTTAACAGGATGATGCTGCTAACGATCCACAGTGGTCTGAGGAGCAGATAATTGAAGCAAAATTCTGTTTTGCTGGACTCACTATTGGCCAGACTGAAGTGGATATTATGGCTCGTTCTACTCAAGCTATTTTTGAGATCCTGGAAAAATCATGGCAGCCTCAAAACTGCACTCTGGTAGACCTGAAGGTACAAAAATCTGATTTCTTACAGTCCTGGTTCTTACAGGAAATATATCACTGTATGGTTCCTAAAATAGGATTCTTACTGTCTTTTTAGATTGAATTTGGTGTTAATGTTCTGACAAAAGAAATCGTTCTTGCTGATGTTATTGATAATGATTCTTGGAGGCTGTGGCCATCAGGAGACAGAAGCCAGCAGAAGGACAAACAGGTAGTGTTTTAATCCTTCTTTGAAGTCAGTTGGGAAGGAGAATGAAAAAAGTAAATCCTGCAGTTAAACACGTGCTTTCAGAGTGGCTTTTTCTAGATAGATAGTCTTATCTTGTTACAAAGTAGCTCATAGGGTATCTCCTGTCCAATCCTGTTCTTATTAAATAGTTTATTATGTGGTTTATGGTAGGAAAAAATCCTCTGCTTGTGTATCTTCAATGGGAATGCTCAACAGCAGTGTTGACTGGAGCTATCGTAATGAAGCCTGGAACTTCCTGGGGGTAATAAGAATTTCTGACTTGTGCAGATAATAAAATAGGTGGACAACAGACTGGTAAGAGGAATAGATACTTTAGTTTCCAGGTCTGCCTCCAAGTTTCTCTGTTTATTCAGAGTGGTATCCTCTATTACTAGAGATCTGGTGATACACTAGAGGGATCTGCAGGAGAGTGAGTGTTTCTTTGTGATTTATTTTGGTTAATCTTGAATTCAATATTCAGTGTCTCCAAGTGTTACTAACAGACTGTGTCCACATAAGCAGGCTGCAAACATAAGTTTGAAATAAAACTTGTCCTGTATTTAAACATGTTGCAATTACACTTGTCAAGTATCTCTGAATTGCCAGATAAGTAGTGTGAAAGAACTAGCTTGGGAATGCTGCTGCCACAGAGCTTCTGTAGCAATTGTTGAGATTGGTAACAGAGCCTGTGAGAGAAAGTGGCTTTAAGCAGCAGGGGAAGACTTCAAATGATGTGTGTGTGGGAGAAGGGGTATTACTTTTAAATTAGGAAGCAGAATGGCTCTATTGTTTACTTTACCTGAAGTAGCATGCTTGAGTGAATTGCTGTGACAGTACTTTAGCTCATCACCCTAAAATAAGGTATATGATAACATCATGCAGAATCTAGGCTAGCTAATGCAGTGCTACTGCAGGCAGGCGTGTCTTTACGAATCCAGTTTTAAAAGGGCTGTATGCCTCTCCTTAAATTTTACCCTTCAGGAAGCTTCCAAAACCTTGATACGCTTGTGGCTAAAAGCCTTTCAGGTTTCAAATGGCCATGGATTGTAATGTAGAAGGTTGTTTACAGCTACTGAAATGGTTCTTCATTAAATAGCTCTTCCTTGCTTCCATATGCAAATACCATTCTCTGTGCTTCCCGTGGAATTGCTAGCAACTGCGTAAATACTTCAGTTGGGGTATTCTTACCAATTATGGAAGTAAAACGAGTGCTTTGTGTACCAAAACCACATTAACCTGAAGGTTTGGGTGGGGCTTTTTTCCTTCTTTTCAGTCCTACCGGGACCTGAAAGAAGTAACTCCTGAAGCACTGCAGATGGTTAAGAGAAACTTTGAATGGGTTGCAGAAAGAGTGGAGGTACCTATTTTTATGAACAATATATCTAGACTTCGATAACTGCATGTCTTCAACCTGGTTGACTGCTTTTCTTTCCCTTGTCCTGCTTCACTCTTTTACCTAGTTGCTTCTGAAAACAAAGAGCCAAGGTAGAGTTGTGGTGCTGATGGGATCTCCTTCTGACCTCAGTCACTGTGAAAAGATAAAAAAGGCATGTGCAACCTTTGGAATTCCTTGTGAGTTAAGAGTGACCTCTGCTCACAAAGGGCCAGATGAAACCCTGAGGATCAAAGCAGAATACGAAGGTAAATGCCAGAACTACTGATTTTGGAGTGAAATGGTGTGTTGAGGAACAACTCGGCAACTTGAGGATTTGTGTGGGGTTTTCCCATTTTTTTGTTACACGCTACACCAAACTGTAACAACGCTGCTCTACGCTTGCTGATTACATAATGACAGGTTATAGGCTGCACTAAGCAAGTATGGAGTAACATATTGTCCTGCTGCCCAACCACAGCTTCCATTACTCAAAGTGTTAACATCTGCTTTTGTCCCAGTACCAGAACTACTTTGCCCAATAGTTGATCATGTTAATACAATTATTGTAGCATCTTGCTGGTGGTGCTGGTCCTTCTGAAATGATGAGGAGTGATATTTTCTCTAGCTGACTGAATAGTCTTGCATATAATTTGCAAGGTAGATGTTGCTCCCTTCATGCTTTCCTGCCTCTTCCATGAAAATAACTCTTGCTTGTCATTTTGGATGCCATGAGAAAGGATACAAGACACTCAATTTAAATTCTTATCTTTACCAAGAAAACCTGGTATCTCTTCAAAAGATTTATAGCCTAGTAGAGGAATATGCTTTCTACTTGGTGAAACCGCAGATGTTGTGACCATAGTTGAGAAGCACTTATTTTGAGGTGACCCATTTAAGGAGAGGAACACTTAATGGTGCCACAGGTTTAATGGCTATGTTCTCGACAAAGCTAAGCGACACCTGGTCCTCCAATACTGAGACTTTCCCTCAGAGGCAGAGGAAGACATGCTAACTTCAGTTGTAGTAGAGAGTAGCTGGGATTTAGATGTTTCTGTGAAGGGAAAGGTCAGGCACAACATTCTCGTGCCATGTAATGGAATTGGCAGAATAGCTGCAAATAGACTTGCAGGCTCGGGTAAAGTTCCCACAAAAGCAAGTGGCAGAGAACAAGGCGCATCACTTATTTCTGAATGTCTTCCTGCCCCCAGGAGATGGAATCCCAACAGTGTTTGTTGCAGTAGCTGGCAGAAGCAATGGTTTGGGGCCAGTAATGTCTGGTAACACTGCTTACCCAGTTGTCAACTGTCCTCCGCTCTCGGCTGACTGGGGTACTCAGGATGTGTGGTCTTCCCTCAGACTACCCAGCGGTAAGATGATCTTCGGCTTGCACTCTTGTTCTGACCTAGCTCTATCTGTGCCTACACATACAAACACACAGCAAAACCCTGGAAAAGTAGCTGAATCTACACGGAATGAACAAAGCCTATAGAAATATCTTACATGCTGTCTTTGACTTCTTGATGGCAAAAAATCCAATAGACAGTGCAAAGATGACATAGGAGTAATCTTCAGAAAAGTATAAACTTTGTCTTACCCTTGCCACATATTCCAGTTTGAAATTGGAATTAGCTTTAATGGGGATTTAAAAAATTGAATTTTGTTCAGTTATAGAGCTACATTTTCCTTATGATCAAAGATAAAAGAATACCTTTCTCCATAATCCATGTAGGTAAGAGCTTAACTCTGTCAGTGCATTGTTACCTGTATGATTTTTAACTTCGCTACTGACTTGAATGGATTCTTGGCAAGTAGGAGGCCCGGAAGTCTGTTACCTGTGTATAAGGAGAGTCATTTGGTGTGCTGGCTTTTGGTTTAAAATGCCATGAATCAGTTGTGTTAGTGGAATACATGACACTTGACTAGCTTTAAAACTAGATCATGCAGTTCCTGGAGGCTAAACTGAACGCTGTCTTAAATTGTTCTTCAGAGGTGTTTTTTGTTTGACTATAGAATATGTTTGGGTAAGTGGCACTCTCTTCTCTGCAGGTCTTGGCTGTCCTACTACTCTGTCACCTGAAGGAGCTGCCCAGTTTGCTGCCCAGATATTTGGCTTAAACAACCATTTGGTGTGGGCCAAACTGCGATCAAACATGTTAAACACCTGGATCTCCTTGAAGCAGGCTGACAAAAGACTTCGGGAGTGCACCTTGTAAGTCATCCCAGCAAGTAACTTCCAGTAGCTACACACAGAGAATGGCGTGTGTATTCATTTGTGTTAGGATTTACATTTGGGTGAGCACAAGTCCTGCATCCTTTCTTACACAGAAAGCATTGTTAGAGCAGCAGATGAAGTCTGTTGTGTCCTCATCCTTCCCATGTGTAATTTTTTTTTTATATAACAACTTAGTAAGTAAAAGATGGGGAAGTAGTATTTTAGGCATCCCTTTCTGTTGCTCCAAAATGGTGCTGTTTGGCTTTTTAGTGTATACTGTTAACTACAGACTATTTCAAGAGAATGACTTGGTGCAATCTAAATAGAATTCAACTAGTCTTCTGTATTTCTGTGACAGTAATATTCTTCCATAGTAATAACGTATGTCTTGAACCCTGTTAATTCAACTGGGCTGCTCACTGAAGCCAGTGCTGATGCTGTTCTTGCAATGATGGTATGCTTTCCTTAGCAATAAAATGGCAACATATGCTGTATTAATAGGAAAAGGGGCTGGAAAAATGGTTTAAAAGCCTGAAATAAATACCTGCCTTATTTAAAAAATGTATATACATACATGTCTGTGTTGGTTTTCTAAAACGTATGTGTATACGTACCCCACTGCTGTCTTCTGGAATGATGTGATAAAAGTTGACACCAATTCTCTTGTTTATAACAAGCTATAAATACAAATGGTTTGAGTGAACAAACGGGCTTGTTGGCCGCTTGCTGTGACTCTTGCCTAGTCCAGTCTTTGCTGTTTTAAACACCATGCAGATCTCTACCTTCAGTAGTTCTGAAGGGCCCATGTGATGTTGTCAAACTGTCTTACGCTTCAGTAACTCTAGCTATTACATATCTTTATTTCCTCACCCTGTTTCTATAGAAAGCTTACTGAACTGAAGGGGGGAATCTAAGCATGACTGTCTTTGTACACACCGATCTTCCAACTATGATTCTAACAAATATGCAATTACTTGATGTATGTAACATCTATGCTTTTACAATTATAAATAAACTACTGAATTTAAAGCTTCTTCATGGAGACTTACTGAATAAGTACACTCAAAAAGTAGTGATCCATTGTGGTACGTAACTTGAGGACCATAAGTGAGGTAATAATCTTGTAAAAAGCTTATGCACTAAACCTGCATAGCAGTGGTATTTGATGACAGTCTTCTGAAGATGCACTACTAAAGTGTCTGACTGTTCCAGGAAGCTGTGTTGCTTGTTCCTGATGTGCTGCTTTTATTGTGTGGGAGCTCAGGCTTACCCCTTAGAGTGAGTAACTGGATTAAATGCTGCTGGCCTTCTCCTTTGCAGGAAGGGACCACATCTTGCATGCAGTTGTATAGAAGTGCTCTTGGCAGTGCTCTCTTCTGGAGTTAAATACAGGGGGGCTGTTAAGTCAGTCAAAGCTTACACTACAGCAAAATAAGTAGAACTCTTCTCTGGGTCTTGAGGGTAGTTGCTTTTCTTGTACTGGGACAAGAACCAGAGCCAGCTACTGTAAGAGACTGCAGCACACCTTTGCTACCATAAGGAGAGGCAGCTAGCTCAGCTCTATGTACCCCCATAACGTGAGGATGAAGTCACATGAGGTGATGGTGTCACAGTTCCTGTTCTTCCCCTCCTTAACCAACACTGCACTTAGTGTTAGCTTTGGTTGATAGACCTGACAACCTTAGCACCACAGTGGGACACAACTGCAGCCAGCCATTTGTGTTGCTTTTCCCATGCACATCACTGTGCTGAGTTGCTGTCTCTGCACTGTCCATGCAATAAAAATTAGTAACAGCCAAGGATTTGACTGTTACATCTGTAATACTCTACTGTCTCTAGTTACTTTCCTCAGATTACTTGCACCCTGAATACACTGACTTCATTTGTAAAACTCTGCCCATTTATGTTGGGCATGAGCATGCAGAGTGCTCTAGTTGCCATAGAGATGGTCATTCTTCAGCATTTGGATGGGGAGTGTTGTTCAGGGTTTTTTTTGTACTGAACTCTCAGAAGCAAGCCCTTGCTCGAGGGGTTCCCATGCAAAGAAGTATGAAGAGGCAGCAGGTAGCACCAACAGCGTGTTGCTGCAAGGAGCAGATGAAACCTGCACAGTCTGTCACAGCTGCAAGGATGTTCTATAGTTGTCTGAAAGGCTGAAGTGCTGTGTTTTAGTTGTTTAGCTGGAAGCTCTTCACAAAGCTTTTGCTGTGAATGAGAACACTTCCCTTGGTTCAGCATTCCAACTGCTACTCTGAAACAACAACCTGAGGATTTCTTCAGCCAGAAATTGCTCTTGTAGCACTTAGGGGATTTTTTTGTCCAATGTTAAAAGCTGTCCCAACAGGTTTTTTTTAAATAAAAAGCGCTTTTATCTTCACAGGAACTGTTACATAGAGGGGTTACTGAAGCTTGTTTGCATTTCTTTAAATTCAGTTGGAATACCTGTATAATGAGAATCTAATTTCCAAGCACCTGCTGTGGAAGTTAGGACCGTGGATTAGATCCTGTCCTGATTAGCAGATTTACTTGCTGAACAGTAGATGTTCCTTAAAGATAACAGCAAGGAGCAGAGGAAGTGGTTGTGGACAGGACTCATTTTACATCCCACACTGCTTCGGGTACAGGTAAGTGGTGCCTGGTATTCAACCTTTACAACATCATTTTGTTTCCCAACAACCCAACCCCCAAAAAAACCATTCTGTAAAAACGAGGGAGATCAGTCACAGATCCCACTGAGTTGTGCTCCATCCATAGCACATAGTTCATAGGTTAAAGCACCTGTCCAGGACACTGAAGGTATGGTTTTAATATCCTCTGCCTAGGGGGCAGTTGCGAGAGGTGGATCGAAGGCCTTGAGAGGCTGCACTCCAGACTTCTTAAAGATGGCGTTAAGGTGCTCCCTGCTTTTGGAGCCTTCCTTTTTGAGAGCGATGAAAGTAGTTCATGGTCACAGAAAAACCTCTCCTCAGCCCCAGTGATTTCTTCAGCGATGCAACTGAATTGTGAAGTAGCGCTGTGAATCTTGAGCCATGCTCTGGAATAAAACCAGCGGTGCCTGTTGTACGGTGTTAATACCACAGGGCAGTCAGCATGTCTTGTGCATTTTCAGAGCCCACTTCCCTGTTCAGAACTTCCAAAAGCTCAGAGATGAGATACTCAATTTCTAGGCTCAGACAAAAATGGGGTGTGAAGGTGGTTTGAGCAATCAAGACTTGTTTAAGGTTATGTATGAGAGGAGAAGTTTGCAGGTCAATTAAAAAAAAACCCTGGACTTCCCACAGAGCTGAAGTACTCTGGAACTGGGTTGCAGTTCCAGTTCCCAAATCCCTGTTCCATTCCAGATCTACATATGTGCATTCAGAACTCCTCCAAGCTGAGTTGCTGTGCAATGGCTGCATGAACAAGAGGGACCGCTTTCGTGGAAGTATCTTAGATCTTGACAGGGCAGAACAGCCTCTTACTCATGGAAGCCTCATTCAGGATATACAAAGTCAGGGTTCCAGCCAGGAGTTTGGGGCATACCTTCTCACTTCAGAATATGGTGTGCTTTCTACAGGTTAGAACAATCACCAAGGTTTTGACCGATTTAATCTCCTCTGCTGTGGGAAAGGGACAAAACTTCTCCCTTACTTCTCAGAAGAGTGCTGTAACCACTGCAGGCATGTAGAGAGCTGTAGGAAGGAGAGATCTCCATCTCCCTTTTTGCCCCCCCACTGTTTCAATTTGTTTCCTTAAATGACTGAAGCAGGGGTTGGACTCCGGCCGTGCTGCAGCTCCCTCCAGAGTCCTGTAGTAGCCCTGAGGCAGATCCCCTTGTCTTTCTCTGGTATAGAAACAATGAGGACTATGAAACGTCAGTTCAACTAGACTGGGAGTGTTCTGAAGGACTCACTCCCCCAAGAGTGTGCCCTGAGTGTAGAGATGATCTTAGGTTTGGAGAACACAGAGGATGTATTGTTCCACATGGAAGGTAAAATTCAAAACCTGTTGAAGAAGGAATCAAGATGTATTTGCATGGAACATGAGAAAAGCATTATTTGTAACAGCTTTTCTCTCTCCCCTCCTGATGACAGATGTCACCACCAGTGGGAGGATAGGACAGCAAAACAATACAGCAAACACGCAGACAAAATCTCAGCGGACGATCGGGAATAATCAGGGGTCAGGTTTTTTTTTCCCAGGGAAGCACCGGTTGTGCTTCAGAGGAGCTGGGAGCGGCCGCGGTACCGGATGGCATCCAGCAGGGGGCAGGTAAGCGGAGCCGCTAATCCCGCAGGGGGCGTGCTGCGGCAGCCCCGCCCCGGGCCGGGCCGGTGCTGGCGTAGTGGGGAAAGGGTAAAACAAGGAACAAGAGGGAACAAATAAAGCCCCCAACCCCCGTCACCGCTGACAGCAGCGTCGGGGAGAAGCTCGCCCACTTTGCCAAGCATCTCGCACAGCCCTTCACGCTGATCAAAGGAGAAACGCTCCTATCTGACAGGTCAGGAAGCTCTTGAACGCAAGGAGCCAGCAGTCACGCAAATACTTGGGATAATAAAGTAGTTTAAGACGCCAAGCTCCAGAGAATTTCTGTTTGGACTGGAAAGTGACTGTATTTGTCTTAATATAGCACAGCTCCCTGTCCCCAGTTTCCCATTACATCATTTCCCTTTTCTGACACACTTAAACATCTAGTGCAGGCTCATACTCAGTCTGCTCTAAGTCATTTGCAATATAGGGCATTCTTCCCTCTTACTTACCAAATGAAACAAAGCCCCCTTAACTAGAAGTACACAGACTTGCTTACCAACCTCCTTCTAACATTCAAACCTTTTGGTCCTAGACAGCCTTGCCACATCCTCATAGCCACTACTGACTGCATGTAACCTACATCACTTGTACTATCACCAATGCAATTATGTTTTTAAATCCACAGCAATAGCCTGCTGTTGGATTTTGCTTGTAAAAGCAGTGGCAGTCATGACCATCCAGGGAAGCGTAAGTTCACCAACATCAAAGCTCAAAACTCGATAGACTCTTGGTTTTGCTTTGTTTCGGTAAAGGCTTTAGAGTAACTTATATCCTAGCACTGAACATTTTATAGCATTCCCCCTCCACTCCCCTTTAATTGTAGTAAAGCACATAAATGAGAGGGCAGTGAACAGATTCCAGTGGGATACCAGGTGACCTGGATGCAATGATCCTTAACAAATACCTCCTGTCTGCTCACTAACTGGAACAACCTTCTTCCCATGTGAAACGCCGTTGCAGATGGCCAGGTGTCTACCGTCAGAGGCAGTACTGAAAGAGCGACATCTCAGGCTCAGCCAGGTGCAGGCCGGGCAGCTGTGGTTTGCCTGCTACTCCTGAAGACCTGCTCAAAGCCAAAGCTTCAACCACCCCCTCCGGGAACTGTCCCTGCCCCAACTGATCCTGTCAAGTGAGCAGTGCCTCACCCTGGAAGTCTCCCTTGTCCTGTTGTTCAGAAGACCTGGTCGTGCAGATCAGCTCTACCCTGTCTCACTTGTAACCAATGCAAATGAAGCCATACTACAATTTCAGTATGTAGCAGGCATTTACCTCACCCCACACGCAGAGGACAGAGCTTAGGGGAGTAGTTTAGATGACTTACCAAATAGAAGGATGAGCACACTGTCCTTCCAACCCTGGTAAAGCCTCCAGCAATGTTTGAATCTGCCCTAGCCTTTCATGGGGTTCAGCACAAACATTCCTCCCTACTAATCTACCATCAAGTTTCATAGTGACCCCCACCAACATTTGTTACAGCTGCCTTTGCATATTGCCCTTCAAGAAACTTGGGACCGGTAAAAGGTCCACAGAGAAACAATTTGCAGGATACAGTGTGACAGATAAAGTTTGTATATTTGCCAGTTTCTGAAAGAAATATCAAATTGGACGGAGAAACATGAAGTCATCATTTCACACTGAGAAAACAGAAGTTTCTGAACCTGAAGTTCATTGGTTCTCACCCAGGGCACCAACTTGTTACAAGAAATGATGTTTGCTAAGTGTAGATTAAGGTAAAGAGGCTGGAGCTGAGTACTCATCATGAGTTAAGAATTTTGGTGAGATCTCTGGCCACAGTTTAGCAAAACTACGAAGAGGTCCTTGCTAGCGAGATTTGAAAAATATGTATCAGTTCTGGGCAGATTCTTCTCAGTACAGTCACTCCAACCCCTCCTGTTGAGATTTATGATCTTTCTCAGGTACATGCATATCCGATTTATTGTCTAGCTATTTACAGATCACCTATCTTCTGAGACACATCTAGTTCTGTTCTCATGCTTACGTAAAGAACGTGTCTAGATCATCTTGTCAGTCACACAACTGATCACAGAAAGCACAATCCCATAAGTAAGGTGCCCCAACACTAGCTTGGGGTAGCTCTTGTTGGCAGGTCCAGGGGTGCTGCCTGGCAAAGGAGACATCCTTATGTCCTGACAGAAAACATGAGAGGCTGACAATTTCACTGACTGTTGCTCATCATCAGGTAAGACTCTCTCTCCAAGACACTTACTGAAAGGTCTATGCCAACATTCAGGGGGGTTATTGTTCTCTCCCCTTCCAACTGCACAAAGTGACAAAATCTGGTCCACAAAACCACTTGAAAAAATTCCAATTTAAAAATCCTCCTAAAAGTCTTTCCTCTCCATTCTGCATTTCGTACCATTCGCTATGATGCCAACAATGATCATGCATGCAGAGGAGTTACTGAAGAGTAGTACTCATGACCAGTCTTACTGCAGCATGTCACTCTGCCTTTTTTGTTGTTGCCGTTTCTTTTGAGTGAAGTTTTCTCTTACACGGTTTACAATTCCAGAAGTAGAACTTCCCTATGCACAGTCAGTGCAAGCCAACTGACACTTTATCTGATTTTTGTTTTATTAAGGAGCCACGGGGATGTATAAAAACACCTACAAACCACATCTTCCGGCAGACTAGAGAATACTCCGTGTCAAAATTGAAGTTCCTGGCAAGAAAAAGAGAATCCCCACCAGATGATTTGGGTATTTCAAACCTGGCTACGGGGACTTCTTGCGGTCACAAAAAAAAATAATCCTGCCACCTGCATTCTTAAGAAGATCATGTTGATACAAAGATTAAATGTCTATGGTTACAACACACTGTAGTGGAGGAATAGGATGCCCTTTCTTCTTTCATTATGTAAACAGAGCTTTCTAGTACTTCATTTGTACAATAAAGGGGAAATTTACCCTAGGCAGAAGCCAACATTAAAAATGATCCAGCAGATTTTGGGTTGCCTGTAGTACCTCAAGCCTTAAACTCCAGAAGAGAACAAGGCCAGAGCATCTGATTAGTAAGCCTGCTAATGCCCAAGTGTTCCGCAAGAACAGTTTCCTGCAACTTTGAAGTTTGAAGAAACGCAGACTTCACACCTGAAACCACCTTAATTTAAACAAAGTAGATACGAAAGCAGGACATCAGCAAAAAACTTGTCTGACCAATAATCAGTCTAAGACAGGTACTATAATCAGAAACAGATTATGTACATACCAATTATGTCACAAAGTGCTCACAACCTTGATGTAGGTTAAACAGCTACTTCTGGATTTACTTAAGATCCCAGAATAGAAGCAAATGGAAAAGGAAAGTGATTTTTAGTTTCTGATAAAGTAAAAAATATTACAAACTTTTAGCTTTTATTCAAAATTAAATATATTAGCAAAAGCAAGATTTAAGAAATATTTTACAAATGATTTACATACAAGAAAGCCAGTATCAGACATATTCACAAATATGCAAACCTTTAATTACAAAAGTACCTATTGGCAGCATGATGCTAACCTTGCCACTGCAGTGTGCTCTACTATTGATATGAGTAAGGCATAGAACTCACATTTGCACCAACTTAAAAAGTTCAAATAAAACTTTAAGCTTTTAAATCCTGGATGCACAATCCCCAATACACACACACACGAACACTCTAAGATTTCTTCTTCTAAGCTCTACAAACTAAGTGTGTACTCTGGAAGAACAGCCAGCCTGAAAAGCCCAGTAGAAATGTAACTGGTACTAGCATTTAGTTTTCAGTTTCCTCTTTAACATGTACAGGCCTAGGTATGTAAACCATATTCACAGTTTAAGAATTGTTAGACAGAAGTACCTTTTTTTTTTTGCATTTGTTCCTTAAAATTGGCTCTCAGTTCAGCATACAGTTCATAATGTCACCTGTTTTGTGATGCATACATTTACAAGGTAACTTAAAAATCTGTGCCATATTCATGGTCAAGATAATTCAACATGAGTAGTAATATCCAACAGTGACATTCAATACTATATTTCAAATATTTGTGCAAACAGCAAAAGAACAGTTGTATGAGGCAAACATTTGCAAAACCTTTAATACCTCCTCAATGTTGTAAACTTGGACTGTCAGCCTTAAGTCCTGCACTTTCCACAGCTTTGAAAAGTCAGTGGCTAAAATTATCAAGTCTCAAAAAGGTTTTCTTCTACATAGTGCAAATTGTAATGTAGATAACGTGAAAAACATATCTAGCTGGATTGACTGTGCAATTGTCAGTGGTCTTCTCTCGTAGTTGAAGAAAGGGTGCGTTCAAAGAACCATGTGGTTTAGGAAGTTAGGAGGGTGCGGAGAAGAGAGAAAAAGCAGTTCCATTACACTTCTCAAACCAGTGCTAGATGTGCAAAGGCAGCAAAAATTCCAGCTGCTATTACAACCAGAATGGAGTAACTTTTGAGGAAGACCCAGGCGGTTAGTCACTTGGACTGATCTCTAGAAAAATAAGTGAGTATATGTTGGATTTTGATCAGGCGATCTTTTAAAGACATCATGGAGAGCACTGACAGCTGATATCTGGGGTCTACTGGGAGAACAGCTAGAAGCCACCAACACCAAGCAGGACCATTGGGCATTGCCTAAAAATAAAAGATAAGTTGGTTACCCATAACCAATGTAGTACAGTTGACTAACACGAAGACACCAAAAGACAAAGTTGTCAATGACAAAGACTACTTCAAAGTTTGATAGTAACTAGAGAATTCCAGATCCATGCAATCACAAAGGTTTTGCAGGGATGTGTTCTTATCCCTCCCCATCTGAGAAATCAAATAAAGTATGGCTAAACTGCACTTGATAAAGCAGTTATTTTTAAAACAACAAAGGAAGCTCATAGCTTCCTTGGGAAAAGATGGCTAACTGTAGGACAGTCACCTAATAACAAACTTGCCTGACAAAAGCTAAATCCACTACTACCTGTCATTCTGTTCTTGAGGCTTGAATGTTCTTGATGCCTAATGTTTTCATTACAACTGTCTTTGTTACATTTGAAGGACTCTCCTGTCACCTCCCAGTTCCGCTCCCTTCTTATTAGTTCACAGACAGAGCAGGACTACTTAATCAATTTCTTCTAAGTTAATGAAACACTGTGGAACCTTTTCCTGTACATTAATCAATTCTCTACACCAAGCCTTAGATGTCATGCCCAGAATTGGATATAATACTACTCAGCAGAGGTCCTGTCACTGCAAAGAAGATTAATAACCTCAAATGACTTGCAAAAGTATTGCCGGTAGTGGAACACTCCAGGATGACTTTTCCGCTCTTGCATCGGGATCACAGTTGACACATTTGTATTCTATTATAAATCTCAAGTACATACCCACAGCATTGCTGCCCTGCCAGTTACACTGGTTTTGCACAACTTGTTCCTCTTTCCTCGTATGCTATTTTAAATTTGGTTTGGTTTTTTTTAATTAAACTGTTCTAAAATCACTTCTGAATTCGCACACTGGCCTCCACAGCATCTATAGTCCTCCCAGATCAGTTAATATAGTGTCATAGAAGTATCTACCAGATGGGTGAGGGACAGGCTAACATCCCACTTCATATACAATTCCACTTTGAAAGCCAAATTTTATGTATTTTTAAATGTTTCTTTCCTCCAGCCTCCACTCTCTCAGGATCTCACCAACTTTCATTAATTGTTCATAGTAACCATTAAAATAGACTGCTGCAGCTAGTTTCTTAAGAAACAGTTGTCAAACCCTAGCAGCTGCAGGAGTACTAGCAGCTGCATGGCACTAGCTCAGAAAGATCACCTCTTTGCCAAATATTGCTGCCTGCATATGCCACAGGGAAGAAAATACAGGGTTTTTTTGCCATTTGAATTCTAACACCTTTGCACAAACCAACAGTTTAAAATGCTACTGGAACTCAAAGTGTTCCAAGTTTACTAGATTCATCTCCACAGCAGCATACCATCCTTCCCTGAAAAAACTGTTGAACAGTGACAGAATTGCCTTTTGTTTCTCATCACAGGAGAAGCAAGATGCAAGCCTTATTGCCTTAGAAGTTGGGAATAAAGTGGGTTTTTTCTTTTAATGTTTAGCAGTTGTTAAAAGGTTTTTATTTTTAGAAATAAGCACCTAATAATTGGTATTAAAATGATGCCTCACCTGTATATTTTCCTCCCTGTCAGGCATTGGCCCAAAGTGCTGAAGAATTTGAGTGCGAAATTTGTTTCTTAAGTTTTGGAACCAACTGCAGGCCTGATTGTAAACAAAATTGTGAAGCTCTCTCAGTTTCTTCAGTTCTTCTTCATCAGCAACCTACAGGAGGCAAGTTATGAGGATATCATTAGAGATAAAGGAACAATTAAGGTGTTTGAGCTAAAGTAATTTCTTGCATTCTCCTAAACCTTAACTACTAATGACTGAATAGTAAAGAAGTCCCACGATATTTTTAAAAGTTACAGCTTCAAACTATGGCTCAAATAAAACCCACCACTTTCTTTGTTCCTTTATAATAATAGAAGTTAAGTTAGCTTCCATTTCTTCCACGTGTCGGCAATCAATCTTCCAGTGGTCTAGAGACTCAAATATAGGGAACAGAGCTCCTAAGAACAAAGGAAACAAAAGTCTAGAGATATGAATACTAGTAAGTATTTAGACACCATTCTGGGTACCTTAACATCTTCCAAATATTCGATGTCTGCTGTGCAATAACCATCTTTCATCCCTCTCCGTAAAACTCTAAATCTCTTTCCACCAACTGTATCAACAACAGACCGTCCATCAGGTAGAAAATGAACATTCCTAATTTGCAGCATGCATCCATGATCTGCAAAACTAGAAAAGAGACCTTGTCAGTAATGCAATTACACACTTCCGAATGGACACTTCTTACCATTAAAAAAAAAAATAAATGTAAGAGATGAGAAGACTTAGGATATAAACCTACCCATTTTGAGAATCACTTATACACATCCCAAATTGTTTAGTTCCAGTTTCCATACTTCTACGAATCATTAGTCGGTATCTTGGCTCAAACACATGCAGAGGGCAAGGCACAGTAGGATATGCCATAGTGCAAATGAACATTGGAACATTCTTGGTCAAGCTTCAAGAGAACATCAAAAGAAATGCACATCTTAAAAACCCAAACACAGAACTATGCCCAAACAGTTTTTTTTCTTTTTCAGTATGTTTGCTATATTTGAAGTCATAAAGCACTCTTTACAAAATTTGTGATAAGCATACTACACTAACTTTCATAAGCAATAAAGAAAACATACTAATGTGACTGAATACGTATGTACTGATTGGAGTACATACTGGATAGTAAGTCTCATAGTTGTCTGGTTAGTACCTAGTCAATAAATGAAGGGCTTTGTTTTGGGGACAGAGATGTTAGTTACTTTTTTCCTTTTTGTTTTAGTTTGAGCCACACAAGCCATTAAGCCCTCAGTCACAGTCTTCCTGGAACTAGAAAGGTGTAGCAGTTACTACATTAGCTAGGTCACCATTTAAATTATTTTCAGTGACGGACTCCAGATCACAAGATGCAATCCAGGATATAATTCTTATTCTGCAGTATGTCTCAGTAGGCTTACTTGAAAACCACGATATATTTTTCATGCTGTTTTATCAAATGTGTATAGTTGATAGTTGATACAAACAAGTTGGCATTAAAACATTACCAGGTGTTTAATTTTAATACATTTCAGACTATAAAACATAATTCTAAATCTATGGATTCGGTTACGTAAGTTGCATTTGAGCTGTAGTTTTAAATAGTTTTCCAGTATTCATATCTACAGTACATGATGCTTTGTATATCTGAAGAACTCTGCTACAGATGAACACCAAGATTACAAAAAAATCCAAATGATTTCTTTTCACCACATCTATCTTTATACAACTAATGTCTATCATGAACTGCTTTGAAAGAAATTCAAGTATCTGAGACTCTGTAGCCAACTCAAGAGGACAATTCCATTAAGAGCAGCAAAGCTAAAACTGAAGCTCCACAACAGTGCACAAATGAAAAGAAACAGAAGGCCAAACATATTCTGTAGAGAGCCTCACATTGCTACTATGTGTCATTTTCTTCTTATTTCCACAGTAGTTAAGAAACTTAATTTTCTGAAATACACATTTAAGACACGTAATTAACATGTCTTTGTAATCCTTCTTGCATCCATAATATGCCATTATTAACAACCACAAAAAAAATAACACACTTCTAAAAAGGATTTCCATACTAATCGCTCAGGTTTTCTAGATAGAAGACAGCAAAGCTTACTTTGAGTGTTCAGCGGTTTCTTCAGCATGAATTCTTTTTCTCTCATATAACTCATCAGATAAGTATTTCATTATTAATTCCTCCAGCAGCTCTGTGATGCTGTATTTTCTGTTTGCAAGGTACTGTAAGCAATTTAAAAAATATATTAATATTTTTTTCATGTATATTAAAAGGCTTGAGAAAATGAAGCTTTTATTTAAAACCATGATATATAAACATGCCATGAATTAGATTTAAACCCATGAAAGCTTACAGCTCTTAAGTTCTTTTATTCCTTAACGCCTAATGGTACTGTAATATTTGAAAATGAGATTCTTTATTTTAGTTGTTAGCAGCTGACAACTTGAGTGTCTAACTCAGTTTGTACTTCTATGCTTATCAGGAGACAGAACTGATTTCCTAGGTTATACAGCCATATAATAAGGAAAGTGTACAGAAATCACAGAGAGGCTTTGCTGAATAGTTACCAAAGTTTACAAACACTCAGGTTTTAATTACACCGATAAAGTGGATGATCACAGAAACATAACACATCTAAGACCTTGAGGCAAACCTAATCAACTTGTGTTGACAAAGTTTGTCTCAAGTTTTTCCTTTCTAGAAGCTATCCATAATCCAAGTGAACCCAAGTTGTTTGGTTTATGTGAAACAGACTTTAAAATGATACAGTATTTGTATTTGTGAGCTCTACTTCAAAACAGTACCTCTTTCAAACTCTCCTTACAGAGTGGACACTGAGGAGCATGATCTAAACACCGCTGCAAGCAACCTTTGCAAAAAGTATGTCCACAAGGGGTTGTCACTGGCTCAAACAATAGCCTGAAACAAAAGTATTATAAAAGACACTGGTCAACCTCTTTAATTTTTACAGCTACTTATATATCAGAACAAAGCAGAGGAAAATTAATCCCACATCTCCTTATTCTGCTTTTCCCCCTATACTGCAGTTTATTTCCATTTGGCACTGCACTACTCATTTTTTTGTTTTCTGATGAATCTGGACATGTTTTAACACTCTAAACATCCCATCATACAAAGATTTTGGTCTCACTACATAGAGATTCAGAATGTGTAAAATTAATTATTTCTTTGAGGAGCTAAGTTGTTTTATTAGCAGTATTACATAGTAGTAACATAACTATGGACAGTTTAGTATACACCAGAGTTTTAAGGTATTTGTTCCGAAAACCAAGACAACTCAGAGCTTTCAAATACAGCAGCTACATTTAAGTAGACTAACAGTTTGGAGTATCTACACCTCCTAGACAAATATGAGGTTCACAGGCAATACTTTCCCAAAATAAGTTAAATAGTTTTACTGACTGAGAAAAACCCCTAGCATTTAACCACAAAAAACTCCTATACTTTTAAGGTTAATCATTAACAATACCAAGTTTAATTTAAAAGACAACTTGATTGGAATTGCGCTGTATTATATAGCACTATAGCAAGTGACACATTTAAATATGCATTTAACTTCAGGGATAGAGAGACTGAAAATTATTGATGGGTATCAGAACTCATCACAACCTGTAAGTACCTCATTTTATGTGTGTAATAGGTATGTGGCCAAGCATCTATCACAGAAATACTGAATCAAGGAGAAAATTTTACCTCATACATAGAGAGCACTCAAAATCTGATACGTCAATCAAATCCTCTGGAATTGTTCCAAAAGCCAGTGTCAAGTCCCTTTTTGTACTTTCTAAGGAAAAGCAATATAAAATACTCCTTCAAAGAAAGGCACATCACAGTAAATTCTTAAAATTTCAAAGTAAGTGACTGTTTACCTCCTTGCTTTTTGTGCTTGTTTCTTCCATCTTCGCATACAACTGTATCCTGTTCTGAGAGGGAGAGTTTTCTTTTCAACAAAGCACCTTTTTCTTGGCCAGAGAGAAGGGGTTCAGAAGACACTCTCTTTAAGCCATCTTCCTTGGCAAGGTCTTTTGTTGAGTTAAGAGCATGGGCAGACTGTGCACGATTTAAGCTTCCACTGACAGGCTCCAGTACATCTGATCCTCCTAAACTCTATAATGGTAAGATGAACTGAACTGTACTTAAGAGAATAACACAAATCTAACTACGTAAGACGTGAACATGGAAAGATATAGAAGCCAAACTGAAACCCTCGGTTAGTTCATTAGTTAACTAGAGATATTTGGTAAGTCAATGCAGTACTCAAATTTGCTTAGCATTAACAATTTAAAAATCTTCACCTGCTTCAAAGAGAACAAAACCTGTATTTCTTTTGATTTTGAAGTCTCTAATACCAAATCTCAGTGCTTTTTTTCCAGTTCACTGGAATAAGGAGTCTAACACTCTAAATGAAAATACATTATGCCCAAACCACAATTCTTTCTTCCAATTTAGCCAGTTACAGAAAGAAAGCATTTAGGCTGACAAATAAGAATACTGGAACATCTGATGTTTGTGTATCAGCCTAAAAGTTATCCTGTAGTTCTGGTTACCTGTTCAGGACAAAGCTCCAAGTTGCTGGAAGACTCAGTCACCTCAGAACCAAGTATAAAATGTTTACTTCGAATACGCGGTAAATTCCAAGCTGGTTCCTTCAGACTCTCTCCTAACTTCTCTGGTGACAGGACATCACACAATGTCTAGAAAACAAAAAGCTAAAATGTTCATAATAATGAAAAAGGATTTAGACATAGCTTTATTATAAAATTGCATACCAAAAAAAAAAAAAGTTAATCTACATGAAGGTATCCTTATAAATAAAGCTTTATTTAAGCTGAGAACAAGCAGAAACCTACCTACCCATATGACGAAAAATAAATTTATCTAGAAATCATTTCAGTTACAAGTGAGTAAGCTCTTCAGAGTTAGACGTTATCAATTCAGTATCATGCAGCTATTTCAGCTCATTATCAAAGAAAAACTGTTGTGCTCTGGGCATGAAAGAGTTCAATTTAAAATATTAAACTTGCTGCCCACTTTTCAGTTTTCTAGATTTTCATTCAGTAATTTCAAAAGCATATGTTCTGTTAAACATGTACATGTTAAATGTGTACATTAGGACTATCTCTTCAATGTAGTACAACATATCTTGAAAGGATATATTCTTTTTATATATTTAAGATTTTTAGATGCTCAAAGTCTACCATAATGGGAGCTTTGTGAAGGGATCAAGTCAGAAATAGCAATCCAGTGTCATGAATAAAATTACCCTTTCCACTTCTAACTTGGCTGGAAGAAAGTCCTCATCAAGGGCTAAGCATTGTAGAAACAGTTGTAAGGCATCACCTACAAAGCCAGAGTCTTGCAGCACTTTTGCTTTCCGGAAGTAGACCTGAAAAATACATACCATGAAGACATTTCTAGAGAGTATGTAGAACTGCAATATTAATCTTAAAGCCATTACCACACAGGTAGAATTAGAACCCTCCATGATGATAATAATGTAGCTTTCCATCAGACTTTGGCTGCACACAGTGTGGATGATCTCTATGCCTTGCCTAACATACATCCCCAAAAGTATGTATGAAAATAGTCATGGAATAGGTTCGTGTTATGTCTTCTTCCAGTTACTTTGTTTTGGCTTACATCAAGGGTTAAAATCCTGATGAGTTTCAGCTGAATTCACAAAAGGCTTTACCTTTCCCCTTCTGTAAGCCTTACCAGGGGAAGAAGAGGGCCATGAAATGCAAATTATTACATGACCTCTTACAACATCTTACACGATACCCTTTTTGCCCTCTGCTTCATTGAAAGCTTTATGGTTCCAGCTTGCAGAAGGGTGACCACAAACAAAACAATCCACACTCCACGCAACCATGCATCCCTTACATACATCTTAATCTATATTCTTAAGACAAAACAATCACTTTTGGAATTGCTTCCTCTAATTAGATTTTATTCTTGAACACTAGACAGCAGCTAGGAAAAAATATCTGTATACTATTTCCTGTGAAAGAAAACAAATTCCTCTTACAGACAGTTTATTTTCCTACTTTCCTTATCCTCTAAGAATTGTTAGAGGAATCCATCAAACCAAGCTCAGTTAAGCAAAGTAAGGTTTTTTTCCAAACATAGAGAAAAAAAGCACTACCAATGCTGAGAGGCGCGAAGTAGGAGATGCCAAGACAGAAGCATTTATCTCCTCTTGTGTGGCAAGATCTTGCTGCTCCTGCTGTGCTCAGTTTAGACAGCACTGCAATATGCAGTACCTTACAGTTCTGAAGGCCAGTGACTCTCCAGCTGCCTGCACTATTTACAAAGCTCAATTCCCACTGAGTTTCTTTGGGCATTTTGAAAACTTTCCAAGCTGAACCAGCAAAATGTTCTTCTCTTAATAAAAATTAACAAAAAAACCTAAACCCCAGCAGTTACAGGTTACATCACCATAAACTGTCCCAACTTCAAGTATATTCATCAACTCTAACCTGTCACGCTCATCAGTAGCCAGTCTCCCTTATGGAATCATTTTAAGATACCTTTTAGCATTTTGCATGCCTTACAAGATAGCAGTTAATGTAGCTGACCTAGGTTCTTAACTTGATGCAAATATAATTTAGAATTCATTTTACAGATTTTATTTTAAGAATATAAAATATATGTAATTTTATATACAAAATTAGATCCTGATAAACGAAGAGTTCATATCAGCTTACCTCTGGCCAATTTGGCATTTTAGAAATAACAAAATTCAGATCTTCTATGGCTGTTTTATGTTCTTGGAGGCCAACATATGACTCAGCTCTGTAAATTCTTAGCATCAAGTCACTGGAATCTGAAGACAAAAATTAAGTAACACTCTTTACAATTCAGAAATTTGCAGTTTTAAATTAGATGTGCTTTCATAGTGATACGTCACAACCACACTCTTTAGTACAATACTTTCAAAATTAATGGAGCGCATTCTTCCCCACCCCCAGTGTTTCAGCAATTCAAGTGGCAGTAATTCCGGAGTCATGTCCTTCAAGCTAAAGATTGAATTTTACACTCTCCAATGTATCTTGTAGCAACGAGAAAATATATTTTAAAAGATCCAGCATTGAGGCTGACAGAATAAAGCATTGCTCAATACTGCTGTGACAACGAAATTTGAGGACTGTGTAGACTTTAGCTTTACACCCATTAGAAGGCACAGAAATCTGGGAAATCACTGCACTTGTATTAAAAAATCAAAGCATTACAATGTTTGCTTTCAAAAGTTCAAATTTTCCTTTAGACTGTCATTTTCTTTTATAATGCCCAAACCCTTCCAACTATGGCTGGAGATACAGATACCACTTGTGCAACAGTATCCTTCTGCTAAATACCAGGAGTAGGCTTTATCACTATGTGGTATGAAAAGAGACAGCCAACATCAGAAAGCCTTTAACGTCAGCTGGCAGCCCTGTTGTAAGTGTACTAGTGGAACTTTAGCAATGGGAAAACATTAGTATGTGTTCAGTAAAATTCTCATGTCCAACATACAACATTTTGCACTTTTAGTAAAGCAACTTCTAAATGGGAAACGCACCATCTCCATGCCACTAAAACTATGCTTCTCATAACACAACTAACAGAAGTTGTTGCTTGGAAAAAATACCAGCACACTGCTTTGTTCTTAATTTAGTTTGTTTTTAAATTCAGTGTTTTTTCACTAAGTCAAACATTGGTCTGCTATAAACAATACTAAAATTAAATAGATCTTTAAGTTTGTTTCAACAAGGTTTTCTTGGGAGGGGATCACTTCAACTTGATATTCTATCTTAGTCTATTCTAAATGTCTAGTTCAAATTTTCATAATTTTCAGCATCAGCTTGTCTTGCATTTAAAAGCCAGGCTGGTCAATGTTTTCATGTATTCCAACATACTGCTTTGTATTTAGATCCACAGTACTAGATATAAAGAGACCTTAGTGGAAAAGAAAGGTCTAAGAAATCAAAACTGACAGCTGAAGATTTCACAGTTGAAACTAAAGCCTCTTTCTGATTTGGGTTGTCTGCCTTTTGAGCTGTCAGTTTCCCTTCAAATACAAATATTCCCAAACCTGGTTTGCTCGGTTTTATTTTATATTAGACATAATGCTTGTATTAACAGAAGTCTGTGAAACTGTCTTTGTCTGACTGAAATACTAATTCTGCAAGCAGAACAATGCCAAAGCCTGCTTTCCTGTGGCTCTGTGTTTTCTGAGTGCTGTAGCCTTGTGCTGTGGTAAGGTGGGAGCTCAGATCAAATGCTTCAGACCGTTTTTGCCATTGTATTTGATTCTTTGGTGTCCAGCAGAGTTAGTATCCAACCAAATTCTTTCCTTCAGAGGTAGCAGTAAGTGCAGGTCTTTGTTCTCTGATAGGCTACCTATTGGCACATTATCAGAGTGAGCTCCTCTTTTTCAGACTTTCAAGTGTATAGCATAACCTGAGGAACTCCAAGCCTTTCTTTCTGGGGGGAAGATGAGGGAGGGGTAGCTTGAAGATAAAAATGTGAGTTCAACTTTACAGCAGGTGGACATTTTGTCTATTTCTTTTTAAAAGAGAAAAGCATGATTCCAATTGAACTGGTACAAAACAGAGGGCTAAACCAAAGAGTTTAACCGGAACCCCAACTCTGTTGCTGAACACACACTAACACTGCCAATCAATGATCAATACATACAATAAATTAGATCTAAATATTTGCAAGACCAAAGGGGGCCAGCTGCAAGTGGTGCTGCCCAGGGCTCATTATGGGGGCCAGCTCTGTTTAGTATCTTTATGAATGATCTGGATGAGGGGATTGAGTGCACCCTCAGTAAGTTTGCAGACAACACCAAGCTGGGCAGGAGAGTTGATCTGCTTGAGGGAAGGAAGGCTGTACAGACAGATCCAGACCGGCTTGGATGGTCCAAGGCCAACTGTATCAGGTTCACCAAGGCAAAGTGCAGGGTCCTGCGTTTGGCTTAAAACAACCCCATGCAATGCTACAGGCTTGAGGAAGAGTGGCAGGAAAATTGCTCAGCAGATAAAGACCTGGGGCTGTTGGTCAACAGCTGCTGAACATGATCCAGCTTGTGCCCAGGCAGCCAAGAAGGCCAACAGCACCCTGGCCTGTATCAGCAATAGTGTGGCCAGCAGGGCCAGAGCAGTGATCATCCCCCTGCACTGGGCACTGCTGAGGCTGCACCTCAAATCCTGTGTTCAGTTCTGAGCCCCTCAGTGCAAGAGAGACAGTGAGGTGCTGGCGTGGGTTCAGAAAAGGGCAACAGAGCTGGTGAAGGGTCTGGAGCACAAGTGTGATAAGAACGGCTGAGGGAACCAAGGGGGTTTAGCTTGGAGAAAAGGAGGCTCAGGGAGGACCTTATCACTCCCTACAACTACCTGAAAGAGGCTGTAGTGAGGTGGGGGTCAGTCTCTTCTCCCAGGTAACAACAGATATGACAGGAGGAAATGGCCTCAAATTGTGCCAGAGGAGGTTTGGATTGGATATTAGGAAACACTTCTTCACTGACAAATGGGCTGTCAAGCACTGGAACAGGCTGCCCTGGGAAGTGATTGCCATCCCTGGAGATGTTTAAAAGATGTGTAGATGTGGCACTTAGGGACATGGTTTACTGGTGGGCTTGGCAGTGCTGGGTTAATGATTGGACTCAGTAATCTTAAAGACCTTTTCTAACCTAAAAAAAATAAATCTATGAGTCTATCTAAATTTGTATGTCAGATTTTGTAACCATATTTTAATTTCTAGGCTGTGCAACTGTGAAAACAATTTTATAATGTTTCAGCATATATTTTAATATTTGCCACCTGAAGGGAAGATGCAAAACTATTTCAAATCCTTAGACAAGAGACTTAACAGAGGAGGAACACAATTTGTGCTTGAATTTTACATTCAGTAACCTAATTTATTGTAAATACAGAAATCACTCACTTGTAGCATACACAAATTATTTTAATAAGAAAGACACCAAGTACTTTAAGTGCAGGATTGTGCGTACAAGGTATTATCATAGTAATAGGGAAGTATACAAAGGTGTACACACAAAACCCCACTCAATCTGTGTGCTTTTTTATATTTTTTTATATATATATGTATGCATTTTCTTTTTATATGCTTCAGGCTGTCAACATAAGCATACCAATAAATCGACCATCTCTGCTCTGATCCTGCATGCTTTTTAGATGATTCAAAATATCAAATTCTTCAAAGAAATACACATCACAATGCAGAGAAACTTTAGGACACAGTATTTACTGATACAGTAATATTGGGTTGCCCCAACAATCAGGAGTTGGAACACACAACCCATGAGAAGAGGCTGTGAGAACTGGGCTTGTTTAGTGGAAAACTCTTCCCAAATGCCTTGGTAGAACCCAACAGCCTTCCAGGATCCCAGAGGAGGCTACCTAGAAGACTCTATTGAAGCGCACAGGGGAACAACAAGCAACAGTGGTTATAAAGGGCAGTTCAGACTTGAAATAAGGAGAAAACTTTTCACGATGAGGATAATTAATCTTTGAGCAGGTTGCTCAGAGAGGCTGTGGAATCTTCATTCTTATAGGTTTTTGCGATCCAGTAGCACAAAAGCTTAGGCAAACTGCTCTGAACTCAGTGTTTATTCTGCTTCAAACAAGAAATTTACTGGTCAACAGACCTCCAGCAGGACTAAGTCTGTGATTCAGACCAAACTCAAGTGTATTAGCCGTGTGTTTGAGGATACTTGATTAAAGACAAGCTGCAATTCTATTTTAATCAAATAGACTTCGTTTAACTGAACTATTTCATTTCAGCCTCTGTAAGGAATATATTAACCATATGAATGTTAACAATCCTTGTGCTTTTCAGAAGTCACTTTTGCACCATAGCAAATACTTCTCTTTCAGATGTTTCACAAAATGTAAGAAAGTTATGAAAAGACGCCATTTGAGTAGACAGAGGCTTAGTGCCAATGTCTTACTTAGGACATCAGATTTATGTTGTTAACTATTTGCATTAAAGAGATGTACTAGCAGTGAGGAAACACCAAGAACATGAATTATTCTAAACATGAATACATTTCTTATGCTACAGTTTTTCCACCTCTAAATGTTTTCAAGATTCAGGTTTTGGAGGATGATAGAAAGTATACCACTAGGTATTAATTAATTCTCTGTTGGCATGAAATCACTTGTTTGTGAGTTGTTTGTAGTTGTGAGCTCATAGCTCTACGTTCACATTTAATGTATGCCTGCATTCTGATTCATTAAGTTATTTAGTGTCTTTACCAGAATACCCTGAATATTGATAGTTCTCAGGACTGGAGACATAGGAAATAGTTGTACAAAAGATCTTAACCTGAGCTTCTACCACTTAATTTTAGCACATGTACTGAATTTGAATAATAGAATTTTGGATAAGCATCACATCTGGTAACTATTTTCAAATTTTAAAGCCATTTTAAAGCCAAAATTTAAGAAGCAGCTTCACAAAAAAAAAAAAAAAAAAATCAAAATCCTTTCCCTATAGAGATCCAAATGGTATTGCTAATTCCATATAAGAACGATTAATGAGAGACTGTAGAGTTAGTTTTATCTTCTATTCTTTCAAAGCAATCTTGAAATGTGAAACAGGACCCCGGTAAACATTTGTGATCAAGAATGGATTCATCAGTTTGTACTCTGAAGGCCACTGAGTTTTGACTCCATTTCTTTATGACCTGTATGAGTCAATGCTGTACTTCAGAACACACAACTAAAAAAGCCTGCTTCTTTCAGTTCCCAGATTTAAACCAGAGCAGCCACTCTTCTCAGGTCACATCCACCCCATATCCTACATTGTGTAAACACTGTGGCAA